ACATCATTTTATTAAAACACTATGAAAAAAATAAAACAGTCTGGAAAGTATAAGCTTTAATACCCAATTTAGTCCCTAAACTTTCATTTTTTAACTTAGTTCATCATTTAACTTCAGAAAGCACTCAAATCATCCTTAAACTTTATTTTTCCGTAACTCAAATGGTCTTTCCATGACAGAATTGCATACATGGCACGTTAAGTTCCACCGATTATCTTTTTCTAATTTTTAAATGCTTACATGGAGAAAACACCACGCCCAATTTTGATATTGTACTTCACTTCACTGTCTCTTTCCTTTTCCCCTTTAACCCTAAATCCTCTGTAACTTCTGATCAACCACATGATCCTCACACCAATCTTCGTACTCGTGTTGGAGATTTGCATCAGTTTCTTAGATATGGCAACGATTCCCAACCCATGCTCCACCAACACTTGTCCCCCCTTCTGTGCATTCGTAGTGTAACTTGATCAAAAACAAAATTTTCTCACTTTTGGATCTATTAGAGTCCAGTAAGAGCTCAATTAGGATGTAGACGATGTCGGACTTTATCGCCTTGAGACAGCTCTTCTTTGACGTTTCTAAGATCTCAATTAGAAACTCCAACGCGCATGAACTTGCCTTGCTACAAATCTTGTTGGGAACCAACTTTAACAAAGATTTGAAGAAATCTATGCCTTGACCTTGAAGCAAGAAATTCCAACTGCAACCGGAAGTAGTCTTTGCCATTTTCCCGAAAATCATTAACGTATAGAGCCTCGCTTCAGCTCTTTCTCTTTGAAGGATAATAGCCATTGATTTCACGCACTCTGTTTTAGACAAAATTTCGAATGTATTGTTTTGATCTTCGATAATGAAAGCTTATGCAAAACACCAAGCGCCTTTTCGCATGCTCAGAACGCAATGAAATCGAAAACATTGATTAGAATTTGAACAAGTATTCGAGCAAGAATTTCAATGCCACCAAGTCTTGTCCCCAATTTCGACAACAGCTTGGAGATTTTTTAAGGCAGTGACCTTAAACGGTGAGGATTCGACTATGTTGAGTAGTGAGACCAACTCGTCGTGCTTTGTGGAGAATAGCAGAGGCGGAGGAGGAGATGAGGAAGATTGAGTGTTCTGCCAAAAAAGGATGAGTCACTTAAGGGTGTGATTGGGAGTGAGGTGGAAGCTGTGGACAAATTGCATGGTGGCGGGACAAGTGGTCTTCCTAAAAGTGAAGAACCATTTATCTATGTTCATGCGATCGTAGGTGACGCCTGTAGAGATCGTCACCAGATCGCTCATGAGGTCCATGGAAATTGTTACCATGTCATCAATTGGATATGATGTATTTTCCATGTAAGATTGTGAAATTAAAAGAAGTAATTGGTGGATACTTAATGTGCCAGGTATGTAGTTCCGTTGACGGAAGGACCA